TGTGCCTCCCAGTGGGATTCATCCTGCCGAGCCCTTCTCGGATGTGATTCATCTGCCCTATTTTAGCTGTTGGCCGTGGGAGGGGATCAGCTGCGCCCTTTGAAGTCCTGTTTTCTTTGCTACTCTGATTATAGCTGTTTTAAGGGCCCAGGAAGACAATTACACCCGCCTGGGCTACGCGCTTGCATCCCAGGGGCCAAGCAGTCGGGCTTGAACCCTGGTTCCGTGGCCCCAGATGGAGCTAACCTGCCTGTCCCTCTGGTTTTCAGCTGCCGATGTCCAGCAGTCACATGAATGTCTATAGTGGGGACCCCCAGGTGACGGCCTCTCTCGTAGGTGTCACCAGCAGCTCCTGCCCCGCCGACCTCACCCAGAAGAGAGAGCTGACAGGTACGTCCCTGGAGCCGGCGGTGACGATGAGTGCCAAAACTTGCCGGGGCTGCGGGTGGGGAGGGTGGCTCTGGAGGGGGTTGGGGTACTCTGACAGGAGCCTGGGATGCTCGTGGTGTGAGATGCAGCCTTGTGGGTGACGTTGCGGGTCTCTGTTGCAGATGCTGAGAGCCGAGCCCTGGCAAAAGAACGCCAGAAGAAAGACAATCACAACCTGAGTGAGTTTGGTGCTGGCTGGCCACGGGGGGTGTGGGTTTTCCTCTTTTGCTTTCCCTCTCCCACCCCTGGCAGCCCTTTCCCTGTTACTCTTCATTATTTTTCCCCTTCTTTCTGAGCAGAGTCCCCCTTAACACCACTCCTCACACTCGGGAAATACTCTCACAGAGCCTTGCCATTAGGGTTAGGGTTGAAATCCCTCGTTCCCAGCTCTGTGGTGCAGGAGACACTCTCTTGTCCTTCTTGTTAGCACTGGTGGAAGGTCAAACCTGCTAGGACAATGAGTGAGTTGGCTCCAGAAGTTTCTCACCCTGAACTTCTGCCCCCTGGTTTCGGAGGGGCTGGCTGTTTTTCCAGCCCCACGAGCTGGGACCAGGAGCGTGGCCTCTAGGGGCATGTGGGACATGGACATGTGGGACTCTAGGTTCATGTGGGACATGAACCTGCTCCTGCTGCCTCCTCACCTCCTTCCCTCCCTTCTCACCTTGCAGTTGAGAGGCGGCGAAGGTTTAACATCAACGACCGCATCAAGGAGTTGGGGATGCTGATCCCCAAGGCCAATGACCTGTACGTATCAGTGGTTTCTGCGGGGCTGAGGTAACTGCAGGTCTCGTGGGCTTGCTCAACGCTCAGCCTCATGGCAGGCGATACTTGCAGAGGGACTTTTTGGTGGAGCTGGGGTGAGGGGACACGTTGCTGGCACACAGGCAAAAATCTCTTTTTCCATCCCGCACGGCAGGGACGTGCGCTGGAACAAAGGGACAATCCTGAAGGCGTCTGTGGACTACATCAAGAGGATGCAGAAGGACTTGCAGAGGTCACGAGACCTGGAGAATCACTCGCGGCGTCTGGAGATGACAAATAAGCAGCTGCTGCTCCGCATCCAGGTGAGCTTTCCTGCGCTCTGCCCTCCCTCTGCTCTGCTCCAGCCCCACAGGCAGCTCACTCCTGCCCAGCCGAGGGGACGAGCAGGGGTTCTCCTCCCTCTTATGGCTCTCGAGTCACCAGGAGCAAAGTCTTCAGACAAACCAGATGTCTGGGGCTCAGGTAAATGCAGCAAGACTTGCTGAGCTTTGCATGGGTCACCATATTCTGTCCGTCACCTCTTCCATGAGGTCCTTCCCTGTGAGCTTCTGGGTCCCTCTGTCCCTGCAACCTCCGTGAACACCCATGTGCCATGTCCCCATGTGTGATGTCCCCACCAAAGACCTCCGGTGCTCTGTTGGCAGTAGCTGGAGATGCAGGCACGCGTCCACGGGCTGCCCACCTCCTCGCCCTCGGGCGTCAACGTGGCTGACCTGGCTCAGCAAGTGGTCAAGCAAGAAGCCAGCGGGGATGAGGGGACGCTGGAGCCACTGCTGCCACCCCCAGACCCCGAATCGCAGCCGCAGCCGGCACTGCCTCCACCACCCCAGTCTCCCTACCACCAGCTGGACTTTACCCACAGCCTGAGCTTTGACGACGGCTCCCGGGGCTTCCCAGACAGCCTGGAGCCTGGCCACAGCGCTTCCTTCCCATCCCTATCCAAGAAGGAGCTGGACTTGATGCTGATGCAGGACACCATGCTGCCCCTGGCCTCCGACCCCTTGTTCTCGGCCATGTCCCCGGAGGCCTCCAAGGCCAGCAGTCGCCGGAGCAGCTTCAGCATGGAGGATGCAGACATGCTGTGACGAGTTGCTGCTCCGACGCCGAGGGCGAGGACTGGACCTTCGAGTTTGGTTAGTGAAGTTAAAGTGCACTCTTCTCGCCGGAGGAGCCCGTCCTGCCACGCACTTGAATCTACGTAGGAAGTACCTTTTCTCTATGCAACGGGGGGTCTCGGATCAAGGCTCGCCGGGTACCGCCCTGTCTTTTGCAAGCTTTTTTTTTGGCCAGGAGCTGGAGCAGACCTTGGCTCGCTACAGCATTGGCCTGACTGCAGATTCCCCAGCCCGGGAGCGTCATCTCGGCTGCTTCGCCTTTCAGCAAAACCCTCCCAGGCTGAACCACTTCCGAGGGGCGCTGGCTCAGAGCCGGAGCAGGCAGGAGCCTTCGAGTCCCTGGGAGGAGAGGAGAGGGATGACTCTCTGAGCTTTTTGTCTGGCTTGCTGCCTCCTTGCCGTCTCACTCCAGGAGCCCACATCCCCAATGAGTCTTCCCCTGTGGTGGCCTCTGAGCCCCCGCAGATGCTTCACGGTGCCACGTCCGTCATGGTTGCTCCTTCCCTGGAGCACCTGCTGCCTCTCCGGGTTGCAGGGCCAGAGGGAGAAGAGGTGTTAATTGGAGCACGCTAATTCACAGGGCACAGGCGATGTTCTCAAAGGGAGCTGGGTCTGACATTGTGAATTTGGTTGATGTTGAAGGCTTCTGAAACAGCTGGGACAGGGTGATTGGTGCTTGGCCAGCCCCCTGCTGTGACTCCCACCTTGTGAGGGGGATCCCCCTCGAGGTTTGGCAGCACCCACCACCCCAAAACCTTGCTGGCCTCGTGGTGCCAGGAGACCATCGGCCTCCCTTGAGACATCCCCGCAGAGGTGCCTCTGCCCTGTAACACCAAGCCCTGGCTCTTCGGGTGGGAGGATAAAGGGTTTTTACACTTTTATTTGGGGATACTTGTTGAGAGCAGATGTACTGCCCCACGTCTGGGCATGGAGGTCCGGGATCTGGCTGGGGACCAGGGAATGGTTTGTACGGATTGCCAAACCTGAGCTGCTGCTCTCTGCCTTTGGCTCATGGAGTTGATTTCTCTTTCCAGCGTCAACCAGCTCATTCTTCAGCCAGGACGGCTCGGTTGTGGGGAGCTGCTTTGGGCTCCACATCATCATCTGCCTTCTCAGCTCAGCTGGTGGCAGGGAGGGAGCTGGGCAGGGGAGGGGGACGCTGTTCACAGGGCAAATACCACAAGGAATTTTTTCAGGGAGAGGAAGGAAAGCTGGGGAGAGGAGACCCCTCTGCAATCTCATGCTGTAGCACAGCATCATCCCCCCCAGGCTGTGGGGGTTGTGTCTGGATGAATGGGGAGCCCACGAGGGGCTGAGGTCACTGGTGCACCCCATCCCAGGCCAGGGATGGGGAATGTCACGGGGTTGGGAACCTCGAGGGGAAAGCCCAGCTGAGGAGTGACGACCTTGCTCCCTCATGGCTGGATTTGGAGTCAGGGAACAGCCCAGGTGCCCCCCTGGAGAGGTGCCTGTTGGATGTGAGGGTGTGGGGAAGTGCCAGAGGTGGGGAGGAGAGGGAGAAAAGAAGAAGGAGGACGTGTCGGAGGTGTCCTGGGGCAGGGC